GTTTTTTTCCCCTTCCTCAGCAAATGATCGCTAAGATGTGGTACTTAACCTTTAGAAAATGTCAAGGACAATTAAATATTATATGAGCTGGTTTAAGTTCTATTTATTTTAAATGAGGTTGCAATTTTTGCAACTGCAAATACAATTTAAAAATATAATGCGTGACTGTCATTTTCAAGGATTAAAAGTAAACATCCAAAAATAAAGACAGACAATCCACAAATAGAGTAAAGTAAAGTAAAATTAAATAAAAAAATTAAACAAATGCTGCCTAAAACAAGGTATAATGTAGAATATTTTCACTGTTTGTTACAGCTTTCATTGCATATTATACATACAACATTGCTCAGTTGTGCAGCTCACTGGGTTTTGGATCATAAACCCAGTAAATAAAATCTGGAAACTGTTTACCAATCACTCCCCAATTCTGGACCAAATTTTGGTTTGTAGTTATTGATATGTTGTTGTTTTTTTTGTTTTTTGTTTTTTAAGTAATTTAATGCAATGTAATTTTTTTAATTAAAGAAATTTTAATATTATAAGAGATGATTTAAGATGATTTAAGTGATTTATTGTAAATGAGGTTTGCAATTTTTGCAACTCTCGAACCAAAATAATTTGAAAATGTGGAATTTTGTAATTTTCAAGGTATATACATGACAAACATCAAAAAATAAAGAGGGACAATCCACATTAAATACAATAAAATAAGATAATTCAAAATTAAATAAAAGTAAAGTAAAACAATAAAATAAAGAAAATAAAATGAAGATAAAAAAGTTAAATTAAAGAAGACAAAAAGAAAATGAGAAAATAAAAATAAAATACAATACTTTGTATTTATTTATATTTTCCCCCAGAATCTTCCTTAAAATAGCCTTGGTGAAGGTTTAAATGGTTGAGCTTGAATAATCATTGTTTCATATTGATGCTTTGCTGTGTCACATTTACTTACAACATAAGAATCTGTGTCTCTGTGTGTGTGTGTGTGTGTGTGTGTGTGTGTGTACTGGTTTATATATCCTAGTGGGGACTTAAACCTGACTACACACAGACTCATGGGGACTCGTGTCATGGTGGGGACCTAAATTGTGGTCCCCACGGGTACAAAAGCTTATAAATCATACAGAATTAAGTTTTTTGAAAATCTAAAAATGCAGAAAGTTTCCTGTAAGGGGTAGGGTTGGTGTAGGGCAATAGAATATACGGTATGTACAGTAGAAAAACCATTACGCCTAT